AATTTTCGAAAAATCGAAAAACGTGGGAAATCGTCCAAAAAGCGCACAAAACCAAAATTTTTTAAAAATTCTGAATTCGAAACTTTTTTCGAAAATTTCGAAAATCTTTAGTTTTCTTCTTGTTTCATGCCATTTGCAGCCACTTTTAATTTTTTGAAAATTTCGACAATTTTTTAAAATTTCAATTTTTTCGATAATTTTCGAAAAATCGAAAAACTTGGGAAATCGTCCAAAAAGCTCACAAAACCAAAAAATTTTGAAAAATTCTGAATTCAAAATTTTTTTCGAAAATTTCGAAAATCTTTAGTTATACACCTAAAGAGCCTTATTAAAATTCTGAAAGTTTATTCTCTAGACATAAGCATAATTATTTTGAGAATATATTTAGGTACCATTCAAAGGCTGCATAATGAAGTTCCTCTTCACATTTTAATTAAATATCACAGTGGTACGACTTTTAGCTTGAGCCGTTTCTAGTTACCGACTATTCAAGAAAGTCCCTGTCGTAATTAAACCCATCGCATTCTGAAACCCCCATCTGTCCTCTGTCAACAGAAGTCAGTTTAAATCCTTACAAGTTATTTCTGAAACATCTGTTTTAATATCATTCTCATTAATTATATGCCTAAATTTCATTTCCTGCCCTTTATAATAGAATATTTACACATTTTATCATCTCCCAATCAAAATAAAACATGAAACAGAACACAAACACATTCTATTAACTACAGTCTTACATATTATTTCCGGCCCATGCACTACAGAATATGACGTCAGATAAACTTCAATATAATACAACCTTTGACTATTTCAAAGCATCCCAGAGCGGAGGATATACCATACTGACAACAGTCGTCACAGGCTATGAATTTGCTTATCGTATGCGATCTACATCATTGCCCCATAGGCCTACTCACAATAGGGCATTAATGATATTCAAACTTGCAGGTATATAAGCACGTTGCCACTTAATTTCGTTAAAGTGGCAATCAAGTTGTGGTTGAAATATCTTAGCGCTATGGCGAGATCCTCAAGTATTCGTCCTCTAATAATTATTAAAACAGTATTCGTTTTATTGTACACGTATGGTGTGCTATTCACTTCAACGGAAGCTTGTGTGAGTATTTTATCTCTTCACAGTTACTGGAAATTTTCAAGTGCAAAATAGTTACGACCGAATATTCTCGTTCAATTATTTTATTATCAGTTGTAATGCTAATCTAATTTGCCACTACACTAAAACGACCACAACCCGGGATAAATTAGTGACTGACTACGGGCTATATAACTGTAGTTCGATTCCCGTTTTGGACTCCTGCTTTTCTCTTCGTCACCTCGTCCAGACAGTGCCCATCCAGCCTCTTGTCCAATTGATACTGGGGCTCTTTCCTTGGGGTTAAAACGGCTGGAGTGTGAAACTAACCACATACCTTCTAGTGCCAAGTGTAGTAATGTGTGACACTAAAGCTTCACTCCTCATTTATCCTAATGGCGTGGTGCTTCGTCAAAGGACAAAACAACTTTAATTTAGCTTTACATTTACATCATTCACACGTTGGTTATTTAATTACCTGTTTCATCTTCAGAGGTTAAACATAAAGTCAACTGAGGGTGGATTATGATTATTACATAGTCGACAAGGGTTTGGAAGGAGGCGTTGGTTTCTATGACAAGATATTAACACGGATTTCACCAGAAGTAACTAAGGAAAATCATAGAAAAACATTACTCACTATGGCCGGTAACACGACCGACATTTGAATCGGTTAACCTGCGAATATAAGTGATACAGCTACATTAACCTGCTATATGCAAGGCCTTTTTAATCAAACCTCATACTATTGTTGCCACTGACAAATGATAGACCGCTTGTCTTCTGTAGCTACTTTACTTACAATTAAAATAAGTTACTATATATATAGCAGATGTACATAGCATACAAAATTTAAAGGGCAAAAGAAACGTGTGATGTTTATTATACTTTATATTTAAACAGGCCTTGATCACTTCTTTCAAATCCTTTAAAATTTACAGGTTATAAGCACATTATCATCTCATCTGAAAATATATAAACTCTTTAGTGAAATAGCATCATTAAACAGTCTAACCAACTACACGCACATAAGTGTATCAATATTTCAATAGTTTTTATCCTTCTGTTTTACAGCGATAACTAAAGAATGATTGCAGATGGGTTTGTGAAATTCGGTCTGGAGACTGGTCATGAACACATCCACGTAATTTGAAATTTAAAATGACAAACGTGGTAATTTTGTGACTCATAGAAGTTGTACCTTAACTTCACTGAGCAGAGTCTTTCTTCAGGAGCTAAAAGTCACACAGTTGATCAAAAAATACTATGCCTTTTATGAAACACGAAGTTTTCTTGTCGTGATCCAGTGGCCACATAAATCCAGGCAACATCCTCACGAGCTATGTCCTAAAGACCCCATTTTAACGTAAAAATAGCCCATAGAAACTGGAGAAACGATATATTCAAATAGTATACCCCTCGTACACAGATGTGTAGTGACCGTTGCACTAACCTGTTGGTGAGAGTTATTTTGGCAGTGTAAGAACTCTGGATTCTGATCCCAGATAGATAAATAAATCAGTTCTGTATTCAAATAACGTGTAATGCAGTGTTTAGAAGTTTAATGTAAAATGGATATTTGCCGCTATGTGATCTTTTTTTTTCAGGATGGATACAAAATAAAAATTAACAAATTGGAACCTTGCGCTGGTAATATATTTAAGCTTACAAACCCAAAAGTCGATCTAACGAAAGCCTGCCGCGCCGTTATAACTGGGTGCATGGATGTGAAAGGGTTTTCAAGCTGCAAGGTACGTCAAAATATGTATAATGCTAATTCATTCCTCTCATCCTATAAGAAGTCATATAAAGTAATTATATTATAAATTTTCCTTTCTGTCACTTCTCTTCTTTTATCAATATTACACATTTCCGTGTCCTACTACCGCACTTGTTATATGTTTAGCTAAGATTTTTATATAATTTTAAAGCACCTAAAATATCTGACAATTATTCCTTGTGCATAATGTGTGCCATTTATTTTCCAAATCGTTATCATCATCAGGGATTATTAGATTTACTACTGTTTAAATTCGAGTATTTTTCTATTATTTTCTTATGTGATACAGTCTTATATCTTAAGAAATGGGTGTGTAGGAATTGTTTAGATAACCAACTACACGAATGCACAGCGTATTTGACCCAGAAGACCAAAATCTCACTTCCGTGAACACCTCAATTCTCAACTTACGGTATGTTGCTTTCAATGGTTGATATTCACTTATTATGCTTATAACTCATAATTTATAATTGTTTTCAGGTTACATATGACATTAAGAAGAAAGGAATGATGGTCCCATTTAAAGGCGAAAAAGATGCTTGCGAAGAAATTGCAAAAGCAACCAAAGAATCAGATACAGCTTCAAGGTTGAAGAAGTACAATATTTCTCCAAATTGTCCAATTAAGAGTGTAAGAATGTTTGCCAAATACTTCATACCAATTGGACAGTAATTATAGAAAGCTGCAAGAACAGGTTTTCGTAGTAAGATGTGGGACATGTCGCATTAGTAGTTTTATTGATGTTACTTCACTTACTGAGATATGACAGTTACCTGGATCTCTGGATTATTTCTTGTGGCAGGTCTTGTAAACCTACTTACTATAGTCTAACAACGTTTTCGTGTGTTTTGTTGCGTTTGCAATTAAAAGTTGCAAAAATGCACCCCCGTCTCTCCGTTCGCGTGTTACTCGTAACTCGCTGAATGGATTTTTATGGAATTTTATATTAGGGAATTCTGATAACATATATTAAAATTTTGATTAAGATCGAATAAAAATAATAAACACTGCGTAAAAATCTACATGCGCGCATTTCGAGTGCTATCCCAACTCGCATGTAATTTGTTAAATATTTATCAGAGCAAAAAATGTTTCGAACAAATGCTGAAGATAAAATAAAACACGCTTTCTTCTGTCAAAAACATTTTTTCCATAAGTCTTAGCTGTTTTCGATACAATTAAACAAAAATTATTTTGTGCTATGTTGTCTCGTAACTCGAGAAATATTTGATTTTATAATTAATTTTGGTCACACTTTATATTGTTGATCTGACCTGTCTACTTCATGTTATTATGCAAGAAAACTTCAAAACTCAGCATCAACGGATTAAAAATGTACAGGCAACAACATTGCGAACACGTCAGAATTTTTAAGCTATGCTTTTATATCCGAAATGCTTCCTGATTTTCTTGCACCCTTCTGATGGCGTAAAAGTTGTAAAGCAATGGCGACAAAGCATCTGTTTTTTGGGTCCATCCCGAGTAGGAAAGGCGCACCATCCAAATATCTGTCTATTCATATATGGATTTTATTCTTAGGTGTCATCTTCTGTATTATATCGTGTCTTTCTTTCAGGTCAATGCATGTTCTAAAGAAGGTGAGTCGCTGGATTTAAGCCCTTATAAGGACAAGTTTCGGCTTGCTGCCGGTCAGTACACGGGCACCATCGGATTTGACTGTGACAGCGGTAAGAGCTGCTTCAAGTTCGACGTGGAATTTAAACGTGGCAAATAGACCAGTAGTCTAATGAAACAGTCTCCTCCACAAAACATCGTCTCTTTTTTAACATGCAATTGTTAGTTTTAGTTAAAGCAATTGAATGCTATAGACTGCCTGTTGTAGCTAGAATTTTGTGCACGAATCTCCAGAAACGTTTGCTCACAATACAGAGACAAAGCTATTTCTTCGAACGAAACTTCAGAAAAAATTGTCGCATGAAAAAGATCTCCTTTATCCAAAATTTGATTTATTGTTAAATGTGTTATATTACATACAAAATGTATTAATTTACTGTAAAAAAGTAAGATTAAATATATCTTCTACGACATTTATTACTGTTTCTTTGAGGATATTTGCATTTTAATATGATTATTTCATAAATGCATATTACAAATTACTGAGTCGTTCTTAAAAATAAATCAGATTACAACACACAAGTTAAAAATCCTACGTCCTCATTTCACGATTTCTGAAAATAAAACTGTGAAATTTAAATTTAGTCACCGTTATTTGTCCTATTATGCCCAATATAAGATACGTCATATTTAATTCCATTCCATTATATCCTTATATCCTAACAAATAAAATGATCATTAGTGTCTCACTCTCGATTTGATCCAGGAAATCCTTGAACTGTCTGTGGGTTGTGAAGTAGGTTCTCTTGATTAACAATGCAACTATGTTTAATTACTTCATTCAGGATTTTATTTGAAAAACTGAACAAATTCTCATTTAACACACACACGTAATAATTACTAATAGCTTAAAACATGAGCTGGCGAGTTATCAACATTAAACCGCAGTGAGTTCCGACAGTAAGCTTTTGACAAAAAAGCACGCATATAAAATAGGGGGTTTCTGATAGGACGCACAAAACCTGCTTTCCTCTTAAAAGCCTCTAGTCCTAGAAATTCTGTGTTCATGTTATTAGGTAATGTAAATATGCAATCTTGTAATAAAATTCAATTTAGACCAAGAATTAGCTCACTGATTTCTTGCGTAGATGACTGCAGGACAGAATCCTGTTCCATTCAGATTCCTTTTATTTCTCACACGTTCCTGCATCCACCATTTGTTATTATTAGTTGTAAGAATTCAAAACCTACGAGTCTGGGATGGTGTCCAGTGGCACAACGTTCCTAAAAATTTCGTGATAATCGGTCAGATGATTAAAAAGTTGAAAGTGAGTAGAAAACACGGAGTACAAGCAGTGTGATTACCCCACAAACCTAAGCTTTTTAGCCGTAAGCACAACGCCATTAAGACGTGTGACGCAGTGGCTGTAAAGACCCACGCGTTCTTAACCCCGAAACTAGACGTGATTAGCTTCACGCTCCGGTTGCTTCATCCCCTGGTATTCATTGGATAGGAGGTGGATTGACCCCAGAGTCGGTTTGGACGTGCTAAAGAAGACAAAAATTCCTGTCCCTTCAGAGAATCAAAAACTGCGCGATTGTCGAACTGTCACGATATTTCGTCTTGGGCCAATTGGGGAAGCAGACTCCAGAATACAATTGTAATCTAATTACTTTAATTCGCATATTTCATGTTGGTATATTAATATAATAACCTTATAAGTTCTTCTTACTTGCCTGTTACCCAGAAAATGTTGGCGATCCCTATAGCAGAAGTTCACAGAGCTGCTACAGTAATTAAATAAGAAATGACGAACTCATCCTCCCAACCAATAAATTAGGCCTGGATGACAGGAACATGACGTTAGTACGAAGTTTCACGCGATCAGTTACAAAGCGGACTTAATCATGCCTTAACTCTCACTTCCCTAAAAAAAATAAGAAAAAACACATTAAAAAGTGCAGTTAGAATTTAAGTCAGCTAAGTGTCAAAGTTTACAAACAAAGAGATCTTTACCTCCAAGTTGTTTCCCTTTATAGCGAGATTCTTAGGCGCGTAACACAGCGTTTACTGTGTCTAAAAACCATCCATTTGCAGTCAATGGGTATTTGAAAAAGAAATCCTAAACAGTACTATGTAATGTTCGATACTGACTCTATCTGCAGCCCTGAAAACGAAGACAGTATGGTTCTCCGAAATGTTGGTAACTACCTACGAATCCACACGGCGTCACAACCCAGAACAATAATCTCGGTAGGCAGATCCCAATCAGCATCAAATTGATGTGAGTTGAGTTTTGTAAGCAATTGTATTCCAACACATTCATAAAATAGCGTGATGTAGCTACAAACAAAACATCTCTGGTAGCATTGAAACTGCCTTAGCAATTCTATATAATAGGCAGTTTCTATTCGGCGATAAGCTAAGTGAGCTGGAGTTTTGTAAGCGATTGTATTCCGGCACATTCATAAAATAGCGTGATGGTATTGTTACAAACAGATGAACATGAGATATGCCGTGAATCACTTCAGCTGATCGGATGTAAATTTTGTATAAGTTTAATCGAAAAAATGTCGATATTAAGTGGTAAGGGTGTGGATCTTTTTTTAAGAATGCACTGCTATCATACGCGATCTACACTACCACATCACAGCCACAGTGAATAAAATTTATTCTTTTATCTAGCGTCATTCATCCATCCATTCATTCATTCGAGTATATAATAAGACTGTCACTGTATTGTTGTAAGTGCAGATTCAAGTCGTGACTGAAAACATCTTAGCTCTATGGTGAGGTCCTCCAATATGCGTTCTGTTACATTTCTGGAGTCGATTTGTATCGCATTATATGCATTTGGTGTGCTTTTCACCGCAGCAGAAGCTTGTGTGAGTATTTCATCTTTTTAGAGCCGATAGCGCTGCTAAGTACAACACAGCTACAAAACATTATTTTCGCACTTTCAGGAAAATTATTTTGAAATGCAAGAAGGTGGCATTTATTAAGCCTAAATTATTTTGTCCCAACATTTCCTTTCCAACTTTCAGACTATGTCATATATTTGCTCTTAGCAAATTATGTAAAACACCTACTCACTCAAGGACCATTTCGTTCTTACTAACAGCCCAACCTTGATGGAGTCTTTAGACCGTTTCTTCGTTGTCTTTAAACCGTATTATCCGTTTCTACTGTTCCCAACAAATAAAAAATACTCTTTGTTCAACTAATTAACGACTGATTGTCGCTGAGCTAGCCAATAAATTCCCAGTGGTGCATTACTGTGTTCTTAACAGCCCGCCACAGCGTTAAGAATTACTTTATTGTCCGTCTCACGTGGCTCAGGATGGTGTCCTGTGGAAAGAAGACTTTCACCCACAGTGTAGATTTGTTAAAATACGGTTGTCTTGTCTCCCTGATTCTGCAATGGTTTGAAAATTAAAATACTTATTTTAAATTCAAAGATCATTCAACGACTGTTAAGCAACATAAAATATAAACGATCTTAATATCAAAATATATAAACTACAGATGTTGCTAGCACGTAATTTAGAATTTAAGACAGACAGACCAAATTCGAAAAATTAATTAAATTAGTATTTATTACATAAAAAATGCTAAATGTTTGCATTTCATATAGAGAGAAACAGATAGAATTGTCGAACGTGAAAAAAACCAATTTTTTTACACGAATATTTGTAAAGGCCTAGAATACATATATAAACTATCATTTGTATTAAATCGTAATTAATAATTAATACACAGTTATTTATAAGTAGCATTAATTTTATTCCCAAGTCGTTGTTAAACTTGCTAATAAATTAAAATACAGATGTATAAAGAATAATACAGCAAGAGGCATTTCGGATAAATGAGACGTTAAAACTTGTTAGGGTTTAAAATGAGTATCAAAAACAACCTTACACGGTACTTTAAAGGGTTTCGATTGTGTACCCAGAAATATAAATTAAGAAGCCTCGCTTATTTCGTTTCACCCAATAGCGGGATGAGAGTTAGCGGACTCCTATAAATCTGAATGTAAAATGTATATATAGTACTAATCTCACTTTCAGGATGGCTACACGATAAAAGTAAATAAGCTGCAACCTTGCGACAGTCCTGGTCCAATCAAGCTTATGAACCCAAAAATCGAGCTGACGAAAGATTGTTTTATTTCTACAGACGGATGCGTGGAAGTTACAAAAGAATTTTCAAGCTGCAAGGTATGTTCCAAGAATGCTATTTTTTTTACACTGTCCGATATTATTGTTGCCAATATTGACACACTGAACTGATACCTTTCACAGGCCCCGATCCGATAAAACTATCTACATCGGTGTGCACTTTCACCGATATTTAGTGAAAATTGCAAGGTTGTACGTCTTTACAGACGAGCACCGACATGTCGCTGTAGGAGACTGATAATTTGGAGTAAATTTATTGAGGTAATCACTCTTGGAAAGTATCACTATAAATTGTTTCCGGATTCTGTGCAACTGGTTTACGTTTCAATGCAACCTCCACTCTAGAAGGTGTCAGGAATTCTATCTCGTTCGGAAAGTGAATCTGATACCCCATTTCTATCTGGTACTGAATGTAATCATGCCTGGATTCATATCCCTGCTATAGTTTAGCCCTTTAAATCGAAAGCTGGCTGATATATTATTTAATATTTCATTCCGTACCTCAAAGAAGACACTGCACTTCAATATTACGAAGATTCTTTTGGAAATAATCCTTGTTTACATTGAGATTACAAGAAAAGCATTAAGATTTCTATTGATTGTTAAAGAAAGTGAGACATAATAAAGTATAAGGACAATTTTGCCTTTATTTATTTATTTAGTATATTTGTTTATTTTCAGTTGATATATGACGTCAAAAAGAGGGGAATGATGGTACCATTTAAAGGAGAAAAGGATATTTGTCAAGAATTATCAAAAGCATCCAAAGATCCAACCGTAGCAACCAATTTGAAAAAGTACAACGTTGGCCCAACCTGTCCAGTTAAGGAAGTAAGTGGAAATGTGTGGGAGTAAGTGGGGATTAGGACAAAGTAATGAAGTGTACAAGAGTTAGTTAAAGTGCATACAACACAACATTCATCTTTACCAGCTTCAATCTTCTTTTATTGACGTATTCCGTCAATTATTTTATTTTTCCTATGTCAATACCAAAGCGATACAAATATCAAACGACTAACTGACTTTCTGTTGGTTCCATTTCTATGAAAAATGATGATGTGTGGTACCAACATTGAGAATCCTGCTTTATTATTGGCATTATGTGTGGTGTAGTCCCATTGTGTTTTGTCTTAAGGTCGTGGCTGTCTTCTGGCTTCAGTGCCGTATAGTCTGGTAGAAGTTAACTCATCGTCCTGATGATGGTGGCAGTAAGGACCCAGAAACGTTGGTAAACTTCTACCAGACTGCGCGTTACTACACTCAATTTCTACAATATTTTGTCTTTGTTGCAGAACAAAATCTGTGCTCCTCAGGGTCAGAAGATGGATGTGAGTAGTCACAAGAGCAAATTCCGATTGGCTGCTGGACAGTACACAGGAACAGTCACAATGGATTGCAATTCGGGCAAAAGCTGCTACAGTTTCAACGTGGAATTCAAACGTGGAAAATAAAAAAATATATATATATATACTTCGATCGCCCTACATCAGAAACTCTCTTCTTCCTATGGTCAGATAATTACTGAAGAAGTCAAAAACTATTCTGAAAAACAAAACCCCCCCCCCCCCATTTTGTATACTCTGTATGCATTGCGTATAACGCAACACAACGTAAAGGAAAAATCTTGATCATCTGTATATCCATTCCTAAGATTAACTTCAAATATATATTTACAATAAAGTTTACTTTTGTTGCATTACCTTAATAATAATCGAGTATTTAATACTTATAATCTCTTTGGGAATTATATGTGTTAACTTATTTAACATTCAATAACACTGAGTTTTGACCACAGAATGTAATTATAGGGATCATGAGGTTCTCAAAATAAGTAGCGATTATTTCCATAAACAGCATTAACCAACTGATCTTTTGTAATTGAGACATGTTGTTTTCTTTGAGGTAGAAACTGAATTTTAACAAGTGTTAATTTCATATCCGGTGGAAAATGAATCATCTGTACCACTGATAACCAATAACTACACCACCGGAGTATACAAATATTGTATTCATGAATCTACTACACGTATCAAAAATAAAAAGGAATAAAGGACTATATTTCAGCATAACGAATATCAGTGATGTTAACACGAGAGTACAGGTAGATCTCAAAAGAACGTGCACCTCACAAAACGATACTTCAAACAATTGTGAGACCATGAAGTGAAGACATCTTTTTCACCACCATTCAAGTCTATTTATTCACTTTTTTACGTGCACAGATTACGGCCATTACAAAAATCGTGTCTATTGTTTGCCGGAAGGACACTGTCACATAACTGACAATGCCCTTGTCATAAAACTGATATCAGATTGGAAAAAGTAACTAACAATACCTATAAAGAAATTTGGCGACATTTTGGCACAATGTATTTCCTGTTCTTCTTCAAATAATAATAGAAGTAAAATAAATATGTAAAGTATAATTGCACATCCGTTGCATGGTATGTTTTATCACTGATTTATAGATCTCAATCTAGAGGAAACGCCATTCAAAAGACTACGTAATAGCCCATGTTGAGTGTTGAGTTTTGAGTGAAATAAATCTCCATCCTTCGCATACTATAACGTGGCTAAAGTTTACTGCTTTGTTCAGGTATTATCCAACAAAAACAACTTGAAATGTACAGGATTTTGTTAATATCGGTTACAGTGACAACAGTACAGCCAAGGTTTTGAAAAGTCTGTCAACGGGCTGGACTTAGCAACTCCCGAGAATCGGTTCTGCGCACTGAACACCACATTTGAGAACTTTTAAAGCAAGACTGGAAATGTCATCTTTGGAGCACACAGTAATTAAAAAAAACATTCTTTGCGTCACATTTTATGCATAAACATCTTTGAGCATCCACCACACTGGTGTTATCAGCCGTAGGAAATTTAAAGTACTGTTATGGACAAGGCTCTAATATCATATGCTCCATGTTAAATTACATGAAAATCAATCCATCCGTTCTCGAAACTGCAATTAATAAGGCCATGAGAATTTGTCAGGACGACCACTTGGATTACAAAACGACATAAAATGTCAAACAGCCCATAAGTTATTCTTGGTCTATGCAAAACCTTAACCGAACACCTAAAAACTACAAAGGGCATAATATACCAGTGGTATATAAACAATATCCCAAAAAAATATATATACACATTTTTTATGAAGGAAATAAAGACATTTAATTGCATCAATCAGCATTGGCACTTGGCAAATTTGCGAATCTGGTGTAGGTGTTCAAAATGATGGCAGATGGCAGTGGTGAACTGCTGCTGTGTTTTTATCCTTTTAGAACACCTGCACAAACAAGTGTCTCCTAGCTACACCAGATGGCAAGAGTGGCATATTCCTGTGAAATCCTAAATTGCACTTATCACTTATTTACTCTGTGGTTTTCAGCTTTGCATCTATTCTTCAGCACAAATGGAAAGCGTTCTCAATGCATTTGATTGGTAGTTAACAGTCCTATACCATTTCAGACAAACATTCAAAAGCGCAAACTCGTAATTGATACAGAAACGTCGCAATCCTATGAACACATAAAATCAAATTCTCCAAGACACATGCAAGCACCAGTCATATATGTCACTGTTTTACAAAATTTATTGCATCTACTAATTGATTTCAGTTCATAATGGCTACTAAATAGCAAAAATACATGGACAGCAGTAGCATTTGTCATATCATATATACGGCATTGACCAAAGCGATTGGCGGGCTTGTCTGAGCACGGTGACTACTAGAAGGGTTGAATGACGAACATCTGCTCAAAAAATACGTACCGTGGTGGTAATGATTTTTGTTGTATTGTCCCTGAACGTGGGACATTTCTCTGAAAGTGCGCTGGCCATGAGTTCTAATTTGGAAGGCCGCCAAACGATGGCGTCATTCACATAAGCATCCTAGAACACAGCTGATCCATTGTGTTGTGGTGCAAGTTGGGTTGTGAACAACAAACGAGAAGAGTTTGAAAATTAGTTCGTTGTGGTAAGCATGATTGCTTTTGTGCTTATAATAATGAAAAGAGGAAAGTATTGACCGTAGTTAGAAGGTTATATGTGTGAATTTGGACACCGGGGTTTAATGCCTTTATTGTTTTCCAAGCAACTTTATTGGTGAAACTTTCCCCTTACTTGAGGCCACTGGCTAGGAAGTGTGTATTGTAGTTCCTCATACTTAACGAAGTTTTATTTTAGAAGCAGCCAGCTCGACCTTATTCTCATGGCAATCCAGTAGTTTCACTGCAGTTTATTCAGCATTTAGTTACCGTCAGTATCAGCAAGACTCGCATAGGGCATTGTGTCACTGCTACAGTGTTCTAAAAGTGCAACATTATTGTGTGTGTGTTGAACCAGTTATTGAATTTATAACAGTGCCAGATCAGTAAGATCTATTAAAGAACTGCTTGTTACGTAGTCATACATACTGTATGTAAATTCCTTACTGTAAGTAAAATATCAAGCTGTCACGCTGATTGTAAATTATAACTGACTGTTAGTTACATAAGTACTGAATACACACAAAACAACTTTACAAGTAGCTTATCATTTATAAGGTTTAATTACAGTTAAGTAACATAAACTCTATTGATTTGCACAGTCCCTTGTTGTCACTGAATTTGGATTTTTTTTGACGTAAATACGTCTATACGGAAGGGCCATTCGGCAAAAACGTGAAACGAACCCGTGTAAGATCCATATCAAGAATGTGTAAATATTGACCGACAACAATGGTCAGCTTGCGTGCATTGTTGTTATCTAAGAAACGTCATCTGTTTACTCGGCAGTGTTGTGTTGCATTACTGCCGTCAACAATCCGCTTTCGTTATTCCTGAAAGAGCTGAGCTGTGAATCGCTTGTAGAAGAAGTGCCTCGTAGACTATATAATTTTGTGCTGGTAAAAACGTTTTAGAATATCACAAGTACTTTTCTTATATAAGAATTATTACATTACATTTCATTAGAGACGTATTTACGTCATATTCTCCGGAACCGTGGTTCCACTGTCAACTTTTTCTTCTTCTTCTTCCCCAATTGTACTGTTAGGGTTTGGTTTGTATGTGAATTGCTAAGGAATCTCTTAAAGCTATTGTACTAACATAATAACTTTTTTAGCTGCTACACTGGGGCACATCCTTTCTGCTGTGCATGAACCTGTGATGGCCTAAGAAATAACTGATGCATATATTGATTCTGCAGTTCAGTGTTTGACACTTTTTTTCATGTACATTTAATGAGTTTCATTTTATGTTATTAAAATCACATTATAGTCCTCAAACATCAGGTATGGACAGAAAAGGGAAAGGTGAAGGGGACTCATCAAAAGATAAATCTCCAACCCCTGGCATAACACCAAAGGGTTTTGAATATGCCATGGATGTTAGGGGTGGTGCAGCAGGTGGAGGTGGCTCAAGACAACGCTATGATAGTGAGGATG